CGCGCGCACTTGCGGGCGTGACTAGCACCAGAGGTGTCCCTCCTTCGCTCGGTGCATTTGTTTTCCCAACGCCCCCCCTCCCGCAAGGGTAGCTGCCCAAGGTTTGCAAGTCTACTGGCCAGCCGTTACATTGCGTGCCAGCCTGGCGTAGAGCACCCACATTACTCCTTGTTCGCAAGGGTAGCAGCCCAAGAATGGCAAGACTTGCGTTGCACTTCCTTGTTACCTAGCACGATACATCATTGCAGTATCGCATCATTGCTGACAAGGGGCAGCAGCCCAAGGACTGCAGACGCTGCGCTGCCAGTCTATTGCTGGAGGAAGGCTGGAGGGCATGTTCTAGTGGGGGAGGAGTGGGGGGCTTGCCGCGCCACCTCAGTTTCGCGCGTACTTGCAAGTTTGACTTGCACCATCATCTTACCCCCCCAGTTCGCTCCCGGTTAACTTCCCTTTGCGTACCTCTGTTTCCTCATGCCCCCCTTTGCCAGTCATGTACCAGCCCAAGGATTGCAAGCCTACTAGCCAACCGCATTACGTGCCAGCCTGAGGTCGAGCAGCCTTGCCTTCTTTGCCCACAGAGTGACAGCCCAAGGATCGCAAGAACTGCATCCAACTTGCTAATTCGAACAGCGCTGCAGTGCCAGTCTTGTACTTGGGGAGGGCTGGGGAGGGCATCCAGTGGACATTTTCGGGGTACTTGCAGGCTTGACTAGCACCTGCATCCTACTTCTCTCGCTCGGTTCATATGTTTTTTTTCCCATGCCCCCTCTCCCATTAAGGTAGCGACCCAAGGCTTGCAAACCGACTGGCCAGCCGTTACATTACGTGCCAGCTTGACGTTGATCACCCATGATATTTTTCTTTGTGCACGGGTAGCAGCCTAAGTATTGCAAGACCTGCGTCGCGCTTTGTTATCAAGTAAGATACATCGTTGTAGTATCGCACCATTGCTGACAAGGGTAGCAGCCCAAGGACTGCAGGCGCTGTGCTGCCAGTCTTGTATTTGGGGACATATTGCTCACAAGGGGACACATTTTGCTCACACGGTGTATCAGCCCAAGGATCGGTTCACGCTGCATTGAGGTTTTCTATTTTACAACAAGCATACCGCTGAATCTCAAGGGGCCTGTACTTACCGAGGCTATTGGGGAAGGTCACACTAAGGTACGTGATTTCATCTAGTACCTGGCGGGCGCCTACTGTTTTTATGTGTCCCCCTCTTGCTTCCAAGCATTTTCCGCGGCGCCCGCCAGGTACTTCTCGCGCCGAGCCGGGCCTGCATTATGTCAAGAACGCTCGAGATGAACAGCTTCAGTCTGATTAGCGTCAAAAGGAGGAGGCAGAGGAGGAGGAGGACGAGGTGGATGGTGAGGGAGGGAAGGACAGTGGATGAAGGCGGAGGAGGAGGAGGATGGACCCAGATCTCCGATGCTCGCAACGTCGACCCCCGGAGGTTGATGCCCTTCTTCTGGGACCAGCTCCTCGTCCTGAGTTTTAGTTTGATGGCCCCGGCGCCTTTTTTGTGAGGGCCCCCCGAGGCCTTAAAGTACAAACACGCACGCGCAACAAAAAACGACGTTTCCCGACGCGATTTTTTCACAGCGAGAGTAGGTTGGGGGAGGGAGGGAGGGACTTTCAGGATTGCGACGATGATGAAGCTGAAAGCTTGTCAGCAAAGGCCAGCATTGCGCATAGTATTCAGTGAGACTGCGCAAGTATGCGCGGGCGGTACACACACACACACTCTTAAACGCACAGAATTCGGAACATATTGGGAGATATTGGAAGTGGAGAGAAAGACAATCATCCAGCAAAGAAAATGTGAAACTGATGAGACATCCTGGAGAATGTGTGCCCATGTGTGTGTGTGTGTTTTCCTGGGCCCTCTTTTCAAGATAGCAAAAACAGCCAAGGAGCCCCAGCGACGAAGCCGACGGGACGCGTCGCCCGAAGCGCCGAACGCCCCTCCCTCCCTCTGGAGCCTCGGCAGCCTACGCGCCGAGGCTCCAGAGGGAGGGAGGGAGGGAACCTCCCTCCCTCCCTCCCTCCCTCCCTCGCTTCGCCGCCGCTGCGCCGCTGCCCTTCTCCGCGAGGCTGCTGTCTTGACGGGTCCTCTCTCGCTTCGGGAGGGCTGTCCCGCGGCGGGGCCGAGGCCGTGCGAGCGCCGTGACCCCCCCGGGCTGCTCTCTGGGGGGTGGTCCCTTCGACGCGCGCTCGCCTGGGCCTCCTCAGAGGGAGGGCGGGCAAGGCCAGGAGCGCCACGGGGCCAGCCCTCAAAGAGGCCGTTCCCAGGCGGTGGCTGGCGAGGGGCCTGGGACTCCCACCCCGACGCCAGGGGCACCCCCCTGTGCAACGGGGGGGGGGGGGGGGCCCACTCAGGTGCCCCCAGGGCCTTGTCTGAGCGAGGGGGGGCAGGGGGGGGGGGGGGGGGGGGCGGCAGGGCAGGACCCACGACGCGCCGCCGCGGCGTCAGCAGCAGGGCGGCGCCGAGGGCTCGCAGGACGGACTCCAGCGCGCCCCCTGCGGCCCTCCTCGCACCGGGGAGGGGTGGGTGTCAGAGTCTGCTGGGGGTCGGATGCGGCCCACTACTGCGTTCGGCCAGCATGAAGGGAGGGCAGTGTCGAGGTTCTGGGTTGGAGAATCGGTGTGGCCTTTCCTCAACACCTGAGGAAGTTGTCGGGCTCCAGAATCGTCAAGCACGGATCTGGTGCGAATCTGCTTTATAAGATGGACCTTGGGAGGGGTCCGACGTTCGATTTTGAATGGATTTGGCAACATCTCCCCCTCCTGACCGATTCTCTGGGGTCCCAATCGGTTTAGACCATCTGGCCGCCTCTATGATGGGCGGTGGGGTGGGGTGGCGGGGGCAATTTTAGAGGGGGGTAAGGCTCAGGGGGTCCAGGTGGGATGTTTTCGGACGCTTTCGTCGCTTCTCGTTGGTCTTCCGCAGCGGCCCCAGGTTGCTTTTCAGCAGCTGCGCCTCGCGGAGAGCGTTCCGCGTGTGCTCCGATCGTCCCGAACGGCCGCGAGAGAGCCGGGGCAACGAATGAATGGGATGGAATCCGGGGGGATGCGTAGACCCCCATTTGCCCACTGATCGCCGATAGGCTCGCCAGGCCCTCGTACCTTCAAGCGGCAGCCCAGGATGAAAAGCCAGTCCCGAGGAAGATGACCAGATCTCTGGGGGCCCACGTTGTGAGAAGGGACGGGGTCTGGGGGATGGGGATGATTGCGCATCTGATTTAACCGCTGGCTGGTCAGGGAACACAGCGGCACTCAATTCGCCAACTGAGGCTGGAGCTGGATCCCAAACAGTGCACAGCAGGCCCTGATTGAGGAAAGCAACGGTGGTTTGGAAAGATCGGCACGGACGCCAGAATTGAGCTCTAAGAGTAGGACAGAGGAACCTCAGCGACGAAGCCAATGGGACGCGTCGTCCCGAAGCGCCGAGGCTAGGGAAGAAACAAATCCAGCCCATACCTTCAATTCCCCGCGGAGCAGATGGGAGGGAGGATGAGGACGGGGGAGACGGGGAGAAGGGCCAGCCTGTCCGCCAAGTCCGCGGCCTGCACTCGGCGCTTCAGGAGGAGAGAGGGGGCGGGGGGGAAGAGGGAGGCGGGGGAGGAGCGAATGAGGGGAGGCAGGAGGTTGGCGGAGGAGGTGGAGGGGAGGCACAGGAGGAGGAGGAGGAGGAGGAGGAGGAGGAGGAGGAGGAGGAGGAGGAGGAGGAGGAGGAGGAGAGGTACAGGTACAGTCAAGGCACCGAAATGGGGACCGCTTTGGGCTCAGGCGGTGCCCGAGTTTGCGGGCCGGTCCCAAGAGTTCTGTAGCAGAACCTGTGTTGTCGCCTGTGCCCGTCGTGGCCCAAGAGAGCCCTTCGCTCCTTAGTATTGTGCGTTCCTTCTGGTGGCACGATGGCTGTATGTGGAAAGGTGGTGAGGGTGGAAAGGATGGAGAAACACATCGGAGGAGAACGCTGGGGATGGGGATGCGGACGGGGAGGAGGAACAGGAGGAGGAGGAGGAGCAGGAGGAGGAGGAGTAGGAGGAGGAAGCGGAGGACGAGGACGGATTGATTGGAAGGGAGGAGGAGAAGGACGGAAACCGTTGGTCACTATTGGGTGTTGCAGTTAAGTCGCTTGCAAGAGCCGACGGAACCGAATCGAAGGAGGCAGGCACATTTCGGCGCTCCAATCTCCACAAGTCTTCTGCGGGTGCTCGTATAGGTCAGCGCCACTTTCCCCACGCCGCTTTCTAAGGCGTGCCTTCAGCCACCACTTCTCGCGATTCAGTCGCCCCCCAGCCCCGGCCCCACCCACGGGGGATCATAGGCTGCGCCAGCGCGAAGTATTACGAACGGAGGTTTCCAGACACTTTTACTGAGCGGTTCCTCCTTCTATTTCTCCCCACTCGTCCTCCTCCTCTTCCTCGACCTCCTCCTCCTCCTCCTACTCCTCATCCTCCTCCCCCTCCCCCTCAACTTCATCATCTCCCGCCTCCTGCTTCTTCGCTGTGTCAGGCGTTGGCTTCGGCTCTCGTCCTGGGGTGGCATGGACGCCGCTCGCGCCAGGGTGCGCATGAGCATAACATCCACGATCTGGAACCTTTCTCCGCTTGTCTCTGGAGCGTGCGTGTGTGTGGTGGCATTGGAGGGAGAGAAGCCTGAGATGAGTTACGACTTGGCTCGCGATGCCTATGCTGAAAGATTTGCGCAAGATGGAATCCAATTGAAACGTTGCTATGTCCAAATAGCCCCAGAGTTCGCAACATCAGTGGAAGGGAAAGGGAGGGAGAGAGAGAAAGAGAGAGAGAGAGAGAGTGCAATTCGGTGGTTAAAGAAATCGGGGCAGGAGGCCGACTGGCCCCTCAGCGCCAACATGCAGTTGCTTGAGCCCACGGCCTCACGTTCGAGGATCTAAGGAGATGCCATATCTTCCTCGGCGGAGGGCTGCAGAAGAGGGGCAGCGGCCGGCGGAAGTCAAATGGAGGCAGGTACGCCAGCGGCTGCTGGCAGCAGACCCGCGGAAGCTCGCAGACGTAAAAGATGCGCCCCCAGGAGATTGCACTAGTTTTGGGTCCCAATGCTTCTGGAGTCAGCCGCAGGGGCCTTGGCCGAACTGTCGAGCGATCGACGGGAATCACGGGTGAGGTGCCGTGGCCGGCGTTCAGGGAAGACCCGGGCGTGTTGGCCAGATCCGGGGCCCCCGAGGGGCTCACAGAACCCTCGCCTTCCCTGCCCTCGCCTCTGAGCTTGATGTCGCCTGGCGACCAGGAGCTCCCCTGGAGGTGGCCGCTCGTGCGCGCGAGGGGGGGGGGGGGCGCTCCACCCATTCTGATGTATCGCTGGTGCCGCTGCTAGAGGGATCGGCCGACGGCGACGATGTCGCTTGGGTAACTGGCGTGCGAGCAGCGCCGGCGTCGAGCAGGTTTGCCCATCGCACATGCACGTCTTTGCCAGTGGGGCGTCGCGCAAGTGTGGGACGATGCACGGGGGGACAGCGAGTGCTGCAGGAACGGGGCCGTCCAGGGCCCCTGAAGGGGCCCCAAAGGGGGCCCTGTAGGGCGCGAGAAGTGCACATTCGCCCCCCGCCCATTACAGCCCACCTGCATTTTAAGGATGGGCTCCCTTCCCAACGGGTACCCTTGCATCCTTACATCCTCGGTCCATCCTTGGCACTTTCGTTGACCACGCCTTGCATCTTTATCGTGCATCCTTATTGCGCATCCTTGTCGTGCATCCTTGTCGTGTATCCTTATCGTGCATTCTTATGATACGGGTTGACTGGAATCGCCCCCGCATCCAAAGCCAAGAAATAGCGTCTCTGCCCTTCGCTGCCATTTTGCTCTCAGCGCGCGTGCTTCTGCCCGCGCGGTGCCTTCTTTAGGGGAGAGCCCTGCCGGCGGACGTCACGTCCTGGCCGTGGCTTTCCGGGGGAGGAGGGGAGGGCAGGCGCAGCATGGACTATGTGCGACCGCCTTAATGTGATTTCATGCCGATACGGCGTCTATCCGATGCCGTGGACGAGCGACAGCAGCAGCGCGAGTGCGACTGGCACGACCGCTGGGGATCGACACCCACCCCTCCCGTGCAGCATGCGGAGGAGAGGAGAGGCCCAAAACGCAAACCCTCTTCGGACGCCCAAAACCCCCCTCGGGGGAGGGTTTGCGACCCCCCAACCCCCTTGACCCAACTCGAGCGGGTATTTGCGGTCCAAACCCCCATCTCGAGTGGGTGACTCGCGGTCCAAGACCCCCCCCTTCGAAGCGGGACTTGCGGTTCAGAGCGGTCGACGACGAGTTCGACGAGCACGATGACGAGCACGACGATCTCCGACGATGTTTTTTGGGACGAGCGCGGCGACGTTGAGCGACGTGCGCGATCACGCACGACGCTCTTCGACCTCCCAGAACTCCATTCCCGGGCCATATTCTGAATGCCCGGAGCCCACTGTAGGCCACTTCGTGCTCTTCGACTTCCCAGAACTCCATTCCCGGGCCACATTTTGGATGCCCGGAGCCAACTGTAGGCCACTTCGTGCTCTTCGACTTCCCAGAACTCCATTCCCGGGCCACATTTTGGATGCCCGGAGCCAACTGTAGGCCACTTCGTGCTCTTCGAGTTCCCAGAACTCCATTCCCGGGCCACATTTTGAATGCCCGGAGCCAACTGTAGGCCACTTCGTGTTCTTCTAGTTCCCAGAACTCCGTTCCTGGGCCACATTTTGAATGCTGAGGCAGGCTGATGCTGCGGCCGAGGCAGGCTGAGGCTGAGGCAGGCTGAGGCTGAGGCCGAGGCTGAAGGCAGACTGAGGCTGAGGCTGAAGCAGACTGAGGCTGAGGCTGAGGCAGGCTGAGGCTGAGGCTGAGGCAGGCTGATGCTGAGGCAGGCTGAGGCTGAGGCTGAGGCTGATGCAGGCTGAGGCTGAGGCAGGCTGAGCCTGAGGCCGAGGCTGAAGGCAGACTGAGGCTGAGGCTGAAGCAGGCTGAGGCTGAGGCTGAGGCAGGCTGCGGCTGAGGCAGGCTGAGGTTGAGGCTGAGGCAGGCTGAGGTTGAGGCTGTGACTGCGACTGCCGTTGCCGCTGCGACTGTCATCGCGAATGCGACTACGACTGCGAGAACAGCAGAACTCTACAACTGGATGGTCATCTGAATCTTAAGCGCAATGCTTTCAGATATGCTTCTACACATCGCTGTTAGGTTGCTTTGCCGGGATAAGTATTCACCGTTGTCGCCCCCTCATATCCACTCCTCCGCCTTCCCCTGGTTCTCTGTTCCCTACCGACCCTTCCGCTTTAGTTCCTGTTGGTGTTGTTCGTCATCATCCTTCTGCTTCCGCTCATCCTCCTGCTCACCTGCCACCTCGTCTTCCTATGCACGCAGCTCCCATTTTTTGCTTGCGCATAAAATGAAGTGGTCTTTCTGTGTGGGTCGAAGGTCGGCTACGACACTCGTCCGCGGATAGAGAAACATCAGCGCCATGGGAAGGGATGGAAGGAACGAT